GAAGCCTTGGGTCCAGAGATGGTGGTTGGAGCAGGAATAAGGTGCTCCAATTGTGGGGGAGCCTAGGGTTGGAGGTGTGAATCTTTGTGTTGTCTTCTACTGCAGCATACCTCTTCTTGCCTAGCTCATTGTCAGGAAGCATGGTAGGTCCTTGCTTCCGTCCTTTTGCATCTCCAAACCATCCTTCCTCATACTGCTGTCTGAGTAATCTTCTTCAGGGATCAGTTTGACCATGGAACTTCAAGTAAAAAAACCATCAGCGCTTCTCAATGCCAGATGCATCATTGCTTGATTTTGGCATTCAAGGCTCCTCACAACCTGTTTCCATTCTACCTTTCCAGCCTTACTTCTCTCCATTATGCCCTTTATATTCCCACTATTTCCATCCACTCTCATCCTGCTCTCTGCTGTGTCATTGTCTTTACCCAAACTTGCTAACATGATCTCCATTCTTGGAGTGGATTTTCCCATCCCACTCCATCTTTTGAAATACCTTTCTTCAAGATTTAACTTATATGATATGTCACCTCTTTTATGAAGCCTTCTCTGTCCTTCCATTCCCTCAGGTGAAAGTAGTTGATTTCTCCTTAAATTTCTAATAGCACTTTGCATGGTTATCTCAATTTCTTTTGTTGTATCATAGCTATTTATGTTCTTTCCTCCAAGTTACTTCACCTCCAAGTTATTTCACCTCCAAGTTATTTCTCAATTCCTTAAGAACAGGATCTGTGCTATATTAGTGTTTAAGTTTTTAGTAAATGCCTGTTGCTTTGGATTGAATTGAATTAGAAGCAACTTTCAGAGATCATTTTGTTCCATTCCTTGGATCCAGAAAGTCCAAGGTCTCTGATCTTCTTCTAAACCTGCTGGTTGAGAATACTCTCCTTTCTTTTGCTTTCCTCCTTTCCTATTTATTGTGCTGCCCCTAATTCTTCTTTGTAGGGTTGGAGGGGTGGTCACTTTATGAGTTTTGGAGGCTAGGAGAGGAAGCTGGGGACATTATGTTGACTGACCCTGAGAGAGAGATGGATGATGGAGCACTCAGGGGAAGCTTTGGATTCCTTTCTTTGTGGCCTCTTTGGAAGCAGCCCTAGATTTGGACAGAATGGAATTTGAGTTGATCAGTGTGATGCTAATTATCCTTGTGACTCTATAGGATTGTAAGAGTTAGAAGAAATCATAGAATTCACTTAGCCCACCTTCTTCTTTTTAGGGATGGGGAAACTGAAGGGAAACTAGAAGGGAAAAATGACTTGTCAGCCCTCCATTCACTCTTTTTGTAGGTCGTAATTGTTTTAATCAATCAGTCGATGAACAAACATTTATTAAGTGCTTGCTGTAGTCAGGCACTGTGCTATGAATACAAAGACAAAATCAAGACAGTCCTTGCTTTCAGAGAGCTTTTATTCTCCTGGCACATATAACATGTTCACAAACGAGTAAGCATATCAAGGAAGGCCTCTTGTAGGAGGTCTGACTTGAGCCAAATCATGAATGGTGTTGGGATTTCAAGAATCGAAATTGAGGGGCAGCTAGGTGGCTCAGTGGATAGAGCGCCGGCCCTGGAGTCAGGAGGACCTGAGTTCAAATCCAGCCTCAGACACATAACACTTACTAGCTCTGTGACTCTGGGCAAGTCACCTAACCCAGTTGCCTCCCAAGAACAAATAAAAAAACAAACAAAAAACCAAACAAACAAGAATTGAAGTTGAGAGAGGTAATGAATTCCAAACATGGAGGAAGTATGCAAGCTAACAAAGGTAGAAGATGAAATGTCATGTATGGAGAGCTGCAAGTATGCCAGTTTGGTCAAGATTTAGACTATGTAAGTAGGGGTAATGTAAAATGAGCCAGGAAATGTAACCTGGGGCTGTATTGTGAAGGGCTTAAGTACCCAAAGGAAGAGATTGAATTTTTTCTTAGAGAGGAAAGGTAATCACTGAAACTTCTTGAGTAGGGGACTGACATGGTCAGACCTATGCTTTAAGAATATCAGTTTGGCAGGTCTGTGGAAGTAGTTTAAAAATAGCCTTGACTAGTAGGTATCATGACTAAAGATAGAGTAACCCTAAGACTGATTCAAGCTCTGAGAAGGTCATTTATTCTTACATATTTGGAGGATGACCAAAGTAGTTGTGAAAATGTTATCTCATGGTAGGATGTGTGGAATGTTATCATATAGTAGATGGTTCCCTTTCCTTTCCAAAGGAGGGACTCAGATATTGACCTTAAATGTAAGATATTATCATAGAACATGGGTGGGGATCCTGCGGCCTCGAGGCCACATATGACCCTCTAGGCCCTCAAATGTGGCCCTTTGACTGAATCCAAACTTCACGGAACAAATCTGCTTAATAAAAGGATTTGTTGTGTAAAACTTGGACTCAGTCAAAAGGCCCCACCTGAGGACCTGGAGGGCCACACATGGCCTCGAGGCTTCAGGTTCCCCACCCCTGTTATAGAACATCAGCTCTGATGTTAAAGGATCTAGATTAAAATCTCACTTCTGATACTTATTACCTGTTTGACCTTCGGTAAGTCACTCAGCTTTTCTAGGTTTCAGTTTCCTCATGTGTAAAATGAGGGGCTTGTATTACATGGCCTCTGAGATCTCTTCCATTTCCAGATCTATGAGCCTGGACCCTGTGGCATCTTTATTGTGTATTCAAATACTCTCTTGGCATGTCTCTTTCTTCTCCCCTTGCCATGAGCCCTATGGCAACCAGGCAGACAACAAGCATTTATTAAGCACTTACTACATACCAAGCATTGTAGTTCGGGTGTAAGCATAATGAATTTGGCTCCCCGAAAACATTTGAGTCACAGAGCTATTAAGGTGAAATGTCTGTCTCAGTGACAGCCTGACTGAATGAAAGAATGAAAAATATTCTTGTCAAACCCTGTGCTTCTAAATACAAATGCAGCAATGACAGTACTTGCCCTGAAGGAACTTCCAGTCTAATGGAGAAGCTAACACATTTTGGGAAGTTTCAGACTTGGAGAGTGGAGCCAGAAGGGAGGTGATTAACGCATCCCTTCTAGGAACAGTCTCAGAGTTTATTTGATCGTGGTTTCAGAACTGGAAAGGAAAGGGGAGTGGAAAAGGGTTGAGAGGTTATAGGAACAGGGAGGGTCAGGAAGAGTGATGGTGAGGCTGTCCAAAGACGGCTGAGAATAGTGAGGGAAGGGAAACACAGCTGAGATTTGCCTGAAATAGTGGAAAGGTGAGACCGTTTCCAATCAGAATACTGGCACTGAGAAACAGAAACAGGTTGGAAAATTGGGAGAGAGACTCCTCCTGGATATCACTTAGCCCTCAGTGTCCTCCTGGGGCTGAATTGGGAGGAGGGGAGTAGGTCAACCCTTTTTGTCTTCTGACAGCCCAGTGGTCATCATCCATGTCCTGTGAGTGTAATTTCCTAGGTAAGTCAGCGGTGTCATCCTTGGAGTAATGTCTTACTTGGGTGTTATTTTATACTTTTTGAAATACTTTCACATCTGGTTATCTCACTTGATTGTCAGAATGACCTTGTGAGATAGGTAAGGCAGCTGTGGACCCTTCAAGGTCATTTTGCTTAGTTCCTAGTGATTATTTACTCAGCCCTTTTCTCAGGGCTTTCACCCCTCCATTGCCCCTATTCCTTTTCATCCCCTAGACGAGAGGCCGCAGCTTCCTCTCCCCTGTCCTGGACCCTTACCACCTGTTGCCCCAGATTACATTGGATCGCTTTTCTAGAATTCCTTAAACATAGACTAGATTATTATGTGGTCAGAATGATGAAGGAATGTTCTCTTTGGAGGTGGGGTATGGACAAGATGCTCTCTGAGGATTGCTTCCAGCCAGAGGATTCGGTTTTTTTTTTTTTTTGAACCAATTAATTAGTCAATAAGCATTTATTAGGCACCTAGTATGTTCCAGGCACTGCACTGGATGCAAAAAGAGGCAAAAGATACCCCCTGTCCTCAAGGAGCTTATAATTTAATGAGAGAGACAACATTTAAACAAAAATACAAAGCAAGCTATAGACAAGATAATTAACAGAGGGAAGGCCTGAAAATTAAGAGGGATAGGGAAAGGATTCCTATGGAAGATGAGATTTTATTTTTTTTAAAATTAATTTATTTTTAGTTTTCTACATTCCCTTTTGTGAGATTTTGAGTTCTAATTTTTTTCTACCCACCCTCCAGTCTCCCTCCCCAAGACAGCATGCAATTTGGTATGGGGTACATATGTATGATCATATTAAACATATTTCCACATTAGTTATGTTGTGAAAGAAGAATCAGAACAAAAGGGGAAAACCACGAGAAAGAAAAAACAACAACAAAAGAGCAAATAGTATGCCTCAATCTGCATTCAGACTCCATAGTTCTTTCTCTAGATGTGGATAGCATTTTCCATTATGAACTGGAATTGTCTTAGATAATTGCACTGCTTGGAAGAGCTAAGTCTATCAAAGTTGGTCATCGCACAATGTTTCTGTCACTGTGTACGATGTTCTCCTGGTTTTGCTTACTTCACTCAGCATGAGTTCACATAAGTCTTTCTAGGGTTTTCTGAAATTCGCCCAGCCAGAGGATTCTTGAGTAGATAATTCTTTATAGATGTGGAGAGGACCAGTGGTATCCACATGCTTTTAGCAGGAAGGATGTACTAATGATCATGTGGGCCAGGAGCCTGGGATTTCACTGAGGTTGGAAGTGACTCATTTTCCCATTTCCAGTTACTTCCTCCCCACCCCCCAAACTATCAAATGTGTCATTCTGATTAAACCTGTAGCAGCTGGCCAGTTAAGGAAGCCACCTGCTTTCTCCTCCACAAGCTTCTTCTCCAGCAACTTTCCTTTTCTGTTTAGGATGAGAGAGAAAGGGAAATAGGGACTGGGGCAGGGATTCTGGTATTGGGTGTATTCTGTCTTTTCTGCCTATCCCGAGAAGGGGCTCAGCTAGTCACTTGCTAGGAGTGCAGAAGTGACATAATTTGGATGTTTACACAGCAATTAAGTATTTATTTGACTAGACCTGGGGATTTCTAGGTTGGCAACTCCTCCAAATCCTTCTAGCCCACTTACAGAGAGAGTCCTGGAGGCTTCCAGTATGACAATTAGTGTACAAATTAGATTGTGTCTTCTGGAAGGGAAGAATGAATTCCTGCCCATTCTATTAAGTTTATTCCATTAAGGCCAGCCACATGTCTTCCTTTTGGGTAGGGAGAGCAAGAATAAGCTCCTTTGGAAAGGTCAGTGTGATAGCCATACCAAGGGAAAGTCCTAGCACTTGGGAGGGATGAGGACAAGAGATATTCTTAGGACTCCCCTTTGGTTTTTTCTGCTCCTGTAACAGTTGGAGAGGTGATTGTGGAGGGTTGTTGCCTAGCTCTTCAGATCACCTCATGTTGGCATGGTGAGACATGCCACATGGTTCCTCATATGGGTTGGCAGGGGCTGAAAGACTGGCTTAGGCATGTGATGTTTTCCTGCTGGGGATAATAGAAGAGGGCAGACTCCTTGAGGACCCCAGGATGACCTGATTTGGGATTGTCATTGTGGGAACAGCAGGCATGCCTACCTCAGATGTCCAGGTTTCTAAGACTGACTGAGTGATTAGATCCAGCATCATGGGAAGGTAGGATGATGAAGGTTCTTTTGGCCATTTGTGGGTTTTAGTCTTGGGGCAGGTTTTTTTTTTGGTTTTATTTTGTTTTTTGCTGTTTTGCAGGTGGTCAGGTGATACATCATGACTAGAGTCAGTTCTCCTCCCTTGCAAAGGCCTTTGTATTGCCAGGATTCCTGTACCCTAGACAAGGAAGAGGTTTGAGGATCCTGAAATGGAGGCAAAGGGGAGACTGCCAGAGTAGTGGGAGGGAGCCATATGTCACAAAGTGGGGAGAGTCCCCTGAGGGTGGTAAATCTTTTATGGAGAAGGAAGTATTTTTAACTGATTACAACACTGAGCATGGTGTCAGGACTGTCTGTGCCACTCTCTTGGCATTTGTGACATCTCTCTTATATTGTTGTATTATCATCTCATGCTGTGAGAGGCAGCATGAGATAGTGTATAGAGAGCTTGTCTCTGGTGGGACAGGTCTCACCTTTGACACATTTTGGCCGTGTGATTTAACCTCTGTGAATGTCATAGAGCAGGGGCTGATTTTCATTGGTAGGCCCAGTTCCTTGGGAGCTCCCCACACTGATGAAATCATAGGTCCAGACCAAAAACAAAGCAAAACAAAACCTCACATTGTTACCTAACTCTTGGATCCTCACTTTGCAGTTTGTCTGTGTGGCTAGACTAAGCATCTGGATAAATGGGACTTTATGTTCTATTTCTTTTGTATCTTCTGCAGAGACTAGTCCATGACTGGACACGTGCTCCATTAGAGTTTCAGTCAATCAGTTAAACCAATTACTTCTCCATGCTAGGTACTGGGGATGTAAACAAACAAATGAATCAGTCCCTACTTTCAAGGGGCTTACCTTCTAATAGAAGAGAAAAAAAGTACACGTATAAGTTTATATCGACTAAAGAAAATCTATACAAAGAGGAAGTAGTGAACTATAAGGTAATTTGGGAGGAAGGGCATTTATTAATTGGATTTGAATGAATGATTTTGTTACTACCCTATGTGATTCTGTCTAGTCACTTAGTTTCCCTAGATTTCACATTTGTTTTCTGTAAAATGGAAAGACTGATGCTAAACCCTCATCCTCTCCCAGGAATCTGACTTGATTGTAGATGGGAAAGCAGGACAATTGGACGATAAGAACCATCCTCACCATCTGACCTTTACCTGAAGACCTCTAAGAAATGGGCACCTAATTATCTGCTAAGGCAGCCCAATTTTACAATTTCACTTTTGGATAGTCCTGACTGTTATGAATGTATTTTTTTTTAAACCTAAACCTAAATTTTTCTCTTTGTAACTTTTATCCATTAGTCATAACTCTACTTTATCTCTCTTCCATATTCCATATTTAATATATTTGAAGACAGTTATCATGTCTTCTTCCCTCCCTTCTAATTCACCCCCCCCAAGTCTTTTTCAGGCTAAACTTCACCAGTTCCTTCAGTCATTCCTCTTATGGTGTGGACTTGAAGCCCTTCACCATTCTGATTGCCTTCGTCTTACTGCTCCCCAACCTATCCGTGTCATTCTTTGATGCCCAGGACTGAACAAATCATTCCAGAGGTGGTTTGACCAAGGCAGAGTCCCCAAGGTCTTTTTTGGTGTTCAGCTGTTCAGTCGCGTTTGACTGTACTTAACTCTGTGGACCGTAACATGCCAATGCTGTCCGTGGAGTTTTCTTGGCAAAGATACTAGAGGGCTTTGCTATTTCCTTCTCCTCTGGATTAAGGCAAACAGAGATTAAATGACTTGCCCCAGGGTTTACCAATTCCTTATTCTTGTACACCATGCTTTCTTAATTCGTCCCAAGATCACATGAACTTTTTTTGGCCGATGTATCAGTGTTGAGTAATACTGAGTTCTCAGCCCCAGACTTTCGTGTTACAGTTGAGGAAACTGAGGCATAGAAAGATAAAATGACTTGTCCATTCAGGTGGTGGCTGGCAGACTCATAATATGGATCTAGGTCCTCTTCCTCCAAATCCAGTGCTCGTTCCACCGCACATATGGCCTGTCATAGATTTGGGTGCTTCCTAATTACCAGCTTTGAAAAAAAAAGGGAAAAAAGCTGATTTTGTAGATAGATTTTTATTCCAACAGAGACAGGATGAGATCCTGAACTGGGAAAGGGCTGAGTGTGGTTCTTTTGCTTTAATCTTTTTTTCCCCTAAGTAATAATTTTTATTGTGTTTCCCTCCTTCCCTCTCCTTGATAACACCTTCATTAGCCATCTCTGGCCATTTGTTCAATGTGATTGTTTCTGCTTTATTTGGAAATTGGAAGCATCATTTTACTATAATAGCTCCTTAATGATTTTTAGAATGAAAGTTGGATACTTCATCTGCTCCCCCACTTTTCAGATATTAGGCTGATATCTATAAGAGATTCCCTTTTTCAGAGACCAGCAATTTGCTCAGCCGGATGGTGGAATGTGGAATGTATGTATAGCCAAGAAGTATTGAAGGGGGCACTTTCTGGTCTTCCTCCTGGCTTACTGGTGTTAAACTTGGAAGCAAGACAGTAGTTATTAGAAAACACACTGGTGAAGAGTAATTGGTAAGGCAGTCCTACCTCCTGAGAAGAATCCATTTTCTTTTTGATGGGATGTCTCTAGGTGGATGATGAACAGGATCAGTTGATCAGCTTTCTTTGGTTAAATCGTCTAAAAAGTCACGTGTTGGGAGCAAGAACGAGATAAGGTAAAGCTTTCTAAAGGTGGACAGTGTAGTTCTTCTAAACCAGATATTCATAATCTTCTTTGTGTCCTGGCCCTCTTTGGCAGTCTGGTGAAATCTGTTGGCCACTCCATATTATTGCCTACATTCATAAATGAAGTAAATGCTAAATCTCAGTGAAAATTAAGGTCCGCCTCAGGTGCCACGTCTTTGAAACCATCCCTGACCTCCCCTCCCCAAACTGAATATCAGTTTCTTCTTCCTCAAATTCCAGTGCTTTGAATCTCTCCTTTGCCCTTATTATGCTCTGTAGCATGCATATTCATGTTTGTGGCATATACCCTCCAGTTAGATTTTAAGCTCCTTGGGGGCAGGCCTGTATATTTTTTCATATTTGCATTCATCCCTCCTAGCAGAGTGCTTAATAAATATTAGTTGTCTTGAATTTGTTCTTCACGACCCAGCCCATTTCCCACGTGGGGTGAGTGGAGTGCCGTCCCTGATTACTTTGACCCTAACCCCTATTGATCCAGCTCTTCTTTGAGCTCCTTATGTACTTACAGTTAGTACTGTAGGATTCAGCGCCTGATCACACACTGCTCTCTCTTTTATGGTGTGTGTCTTGTCTCTCCCCAAACCAGATCAGATTCTAAACTCCTGGAGAACTCACCACTGGAGCTTACCTGCTGGTGCCTGGCACAGTGCTGGATGCTTAGGAGGTATTCAGTTATGACTTCATTGGTTAGTTGATTCTCAAGTAGATCACTGCCTGTAGCCTCATTTTTGTTTTTGGACTTGGAAATTACCTTGGGGCTTGAGACTCTGGCAAAGGAGAAAGGGAAGCTGAGCCTTTTGGTTCCTGACCATTCTATATCATTGTCACAGGCTTCAGGGAGTCAAGCTATACAGCTTGCCTTGTGGTTCCTCCTTGCTTCAGTCTACATCCTGATGAGTAGGAGATGGCTGGTTTAATTAGATGGCAGTGGCAACAAGGCAGGAGATACAGCCACTTCTTGAGTTCCTGCTAGTGCAACCTGCGGAGACCCACTGAGCCAAGGACCTCTGTCAGACAAGGGCTTGAGAAAGTTTGTTCCTTTATGTTTTGGGAAGCGATAATAGCTGATGAGTCTTACAGGTGTTTTGAGCAAGAGGGCTGTTTGCAGTTTGTTTTGGTGTTGTGACCTGACTTTTGCTCTTGGAAATACCCTCATCCCCTTGCCCCTAGTAGAGAATGAGCATATCTTTGCCTATAACTGTCTTTCCACACTTACCAGTTTGGTTGTAGGGTTTTAAAAGTAGCTCCTTATTGCACAGAAGATCAAGTTTAACTCCATGAGGACAGGGACTGTGTCCTACCTAAACTTCTGTATCTCTTCTAGCCCTGAACACAATACTCTGCACACAGTAAGTGCTTAATAAAGACTTTTGACTGAAGTCTAACTAAACCCCTCAATTTATTATTCATACCGTTAGCCATACCCTATCTATCTGAAATTACAGTTCTTTTGTTGACTCCATGGTTCTTTTACTTTAGCTGTCTTCTTGTTAACTTCCGAAGGGGCCATATTCATTCTTGCCTCTGGTTTTGCTTGTAAATCAGCTCATTTTGGCAGTCATTTGTGGAGGGCCCACTCTGAATCAAGCATTGTGCTAGTTGTTAGTGATGGAAAATAAGGCCATAGATGTTTTCAACTCTTCCCCAAGACTATATCTGATCACCCTCTCCTTGTTCTTCCTAGTTCCCTTGTTTTCCTAGTCTGTTCACTCCTCTTGTCCTCATTGAGTGTTCCCTGCACATTAGCATGGGGTTCTATGCTGCCTGACCTTATATCTGGGGTGTTTCCTGTATTTGTGTCTTGGCTTCTCCCACTGCCCCTTCTGCCCATTGATCTGTAAGCTCCTGGAGGTCAGCTACATCTTACAGTTCTCTTATACCCCTACAATGCCCAGCACAGTGACAAATTAATAGGTACCCAGTAAAAACTTGTTGAATGAACAAGGTATTTAGGTTCTGTGGCAAATACTTATTAGGTTCTTTGCTTTCTGCCAATGTGCTGGCTCAGTAG